CTGGGTAAACTGCAAACTCGTTTTTATCTCCTGTATTTCTCTGGTCATGTCGTCGAGTCTCTTGTTATTTGTCTCCATAAGTAGTTGCACAAAACCTTTGAAGTTATCTTGTTGTTGTTGGCTCAACAGTGCGGTGTACATCTGCTTCTGCTGACTCAACATCTCTGTTACTTGCGCCACTGAAATATAATCCTCTTCTGCTTCAACATCCTCATTCGCTTCTGATTTATTAGCTCTTTTCCCTCTTGGAGGCATTTTAATAGTTGTAGAATTTGTTCAAAGACTTGAAAATGTAGAAGATGTGAAAAATCGTAGAACAAGAGCAGTAAAGACGTCTGCTCTCGCTTGCACCCCGGAAGCCGCTAGCTGTTAGTAATCCATTAAAAAGTTATTTTTCACTTCTAAGTCTGCAATTATATGTTTCTTGTCAGTGAAGAAATTTGGATTCAGATACTCTGCAAACCTCTAGATCGTAACAGTCTGTTGGAGAGGTCGACCTGGTGAATTAAAGAGTTAAAAAGAAATGTGGAGCAGGGTAAACACCAGTCACAGGGACTTTTCACATCTCAGCTACTTCAAAGTTGTCCTTGTCAATGGCTTGTGACTGTTATAGAATGCATTAGTAAATGATTTGTTGGCCATTAATAACATCATTAAAAAAAAAACTCCCTCTTCAGGGTGGTGGAGGGTTCACCAATAATTAAAGTCAAAGAACACCAACTGAACTCAAGTCGCAAAAAATACAAAGAAAAGGCAAATAGAGGCACAAACGATGTTCAAAGTCTCAATCCAGAGTCACTCCATAGATCAGAAAGCCAGGTGAGCACAGACGACTTACTATACAGGTAGGGCAGAGGCAGGTGGAGACTCACACAGGCAGAGCTCAGGGCCAAAAACAGGCTTCAGTAGACAGACGGATCATGACACCATGTGGCTGTATTGTGTGTAATATAAAAGAAGGTGGGACTGAAATCTGTTCTGTGTTTATTTAAATTACACAGCTAGACAAGGTTACCAGTCCACAACACACGGTGATACAGTGAACTAAAGTAAATGTGTTTTGTTATGAAGGCATGTGATATGACATTTGGTCACTGGTTGCATGAAGCAATGCATGGGTCTTTTTTCCATTTAGTAATAAATTGGACACTAAATGTGAACAGTTAAAATAATATATACCATTTATAGCCCAGAATTTTGACCAGTTTACACACAAAACAGTTTGTCAGTTATTTTAAAATTGTACATCAGAAATAATTAATCACAAATGTTTCCCAAACAAATACTTTGTCTCATAATCAAACATCATCAGCTGCTAAGAGAACAAACTGGTCTGAGTGTGTTGAGTTTTGGCATCATTCTACATCATTTCTGGGTAATTTGAACATTTGAAAATGAAACTTTGTGCATATGTTTGCCAGGTCATCACAGGTGTTTCAGTGAAAGGCCTATGTGCACAAATAGTCTGTTAGATAATGTCTTTTGATTCTTTTATGAAATTGTTTTGGTTTTTTTAGGAATATCACTCCTCTCATTGAACATCTTAGCAAGAAGAATGATCCCAAAAAACACTGGAGCATTCCTTAAAACAAATAATTTAAACAAATCAGCATTTCCTTTTATTAAACAGATTTAATTTAAGTTTTAAAGTTGACCGCAGACCACTTGACACATATATCACGTAACTGACGATTAAGTAGAGCAGTCAGAGCGGAGATTCGACTCCGTACAAAGTGTCTGACTGTAATTAGAGCTACAGGGAGACATACTTTACTGTACCATGTGTCCACAATCACTACAGTCAGCTCTAAGTGTTCCTACTTCTTTTTCAAGTTTTTATATGCTGCCTAAGGTTTTTTAGGAACACATCTACAAACTATAGCCTCCATAATGATCTTGAAGTGGAATCAACATCTTTAAAATAGAACAATGTAACCTTCATGAAAGTTGGATTTATTGCAGGACTGCTCTATTAGACTGTATTGACTTTAACTAGGTGAGTATAAATTTACAGAGAAGATTTACTATCCAACCAGTGACATGTCTAAAGTGCTGTTTTTGTTGCATTAAAATCACAAATAATCTTTGCTGTTTCACAGCAGCACACATTGAATGCACACACTGTTTACACCTGCATATGTTTGCTTTTATTACCTGCATCTGTGCGTGGGGCTGCTCGCACAGAAACAGCTTAAACACGCATTCAAATTTATGCTCACATATCCATAGCAAATGCAAAACTCTACATGACTCCATCTCATATCTTTGACAGGAATGTGACTCCAGATGCAAAAAGCATCTGTCGATCCCTCTAGTCAAATGATTTGAACCCACCTGCTGCCCGCTCCAGAGCAGCTATTCAGATGAGATTGTGATGAAACTGTATTGTCAACAGCTATTTCCAAGGTGTACAAAGTTCAAGTTGTCAAATGTTTAAATGTCAGCACAACTTGAACTTGAGCAATCAAAATCCAGTCCATCTACACAAGCCTCAAAGACAAATAATATGCAGTCTAACACCCTTTTGTTGGTTAAAGAGGCCCACCCCACCTGTCCAATGTGAAGTAGCTATTACCTGGGAACTAAAGCAAACTGTTTTCACAAACAATGAGGCACTAGGGTCTAAGGTTAAAAAGATGCATTAAAGAAATCATGAAAGAATCATGTTTCTAAACCTAATAACAAAACAAAACATATGTTGTTCAAGACTATGGTCCTGTTATTATAGTGTTGTCCACCCCCCACCTCAACACACACAGTGACTTATAGTTCGTCAGTTGTTAGACTGGTTTTCTTGTCTGTACAAACTACGACACACCCTCTAAGATATACATGTTCTCTCACCTCCACACAGGCCTGATGCAGGGAGCACAGGAGTGGAGAGGCGAGGGTCATTATCCCCATGAGGGTGGAGCAAAGTGGGGAGGTGAAGAAAGTGAGTGAGTGAACCATTTGAAGCTCATACTGACATGCTGCTCGGAAGAGTCCTGTGAGGACAGGTAGGAACAAATGAACTTCACGGCATATATGTTTGTTACATGTACCATGTGACAGAGATTATGTAAATGTTTTCTACAGGTTTGACTGGATAGTATCATGATCAGCAGGTGGAGATTTTTACAGTCAGGCCATAGTGGCAGAAACTGTACACACATCTAATGCAAATGTGTGTCTGTGCTCACATTACTGAGACATTTCATGGCATTTTATTCACTCCCGGTGTCTAATATCATTTTTAAGTGAATTTAAATTCTCACGTTGACAGAAGAAGACCGTTTAACTTCTAGAGTCTCCACATTTTGATTGACTGTAAACAGCTCTCTAGTCCAGGGTTCACACCTAATGTACACAACGAACTATTGACTGCAACTACATGGCAGAAACATTCACTGCGACTGGGCCAATCATGTAAAACGTTGTAATATTTTCCTTTGATGGGAGGCTTCCCGTCTGTGTTGTGGCATTCTTGAGTTCCTCCAGCCTGAGGCAAAAAGAAAACCAGTTTTTCAAAACATTGACCTGCATGTGTGTGTGTTGCTTTGTTTTAGCTATGGGTGTTGTTTTGCAAAGAGCAGCGGCGTGGTGTTTATGCAAATTAGCCTGCAGTCTTGTCTTCCTGCCATCAGTAGCCACATCCTGCAGTCCTGTCAGCTTCTGCTGCTGCTGCCTCCTGATCTTCACTGACTTCTTGGTCTCAGGTAAGTATCAAGACACCCCTAGGTGTACTGTCACCACAATGCTCTAATCCTGTGCTTTCCAACCTTCTTCCACTGATGTACCACAGCTGTGTCACATATCCTTCAGCAGTAGCACGTGTCATACTAAAACGTAATCATTTGAAGAGTGAAAGAAAAAAGTATTCAGATCCTTTACTTAAGTAAAAATAGCAATGCCACAATGTAAGTCCTGCATTCACAATTCTACTTGAGTAAAAGTACTTCAGTATTACCAGCAGAATGAGCTTAAAGTATCAACAGAAAAGTACTCAATATGCACACATTACCACATTTCCATACACAGAGGCAATTCAAAGCGCTTGACCCAATGCACACAAATAGATAAAACATTAAAATACACACAGACAAAATAGAATGTAAATGTGCAATGTGCGCTGTCCTTCGGGCTTATCCATGTGGTCTTGTTTGGGTGTGATATCCCAAGGGCATGACGTAGGTTTGCACCAAGTAGTCTTGATCCAAAGAAGGTTAGATGCACCCCATCGGGTCTGTACCGCTCTTTACAATTCCAAAATATACTGAAGGCATTGGTGAATTTTAACCCATCAATGAGGCGCTGAAAACCACCGTGCATTCAGGATCAGAAGTCCATGAAATGATTTGGTTCCTTTTCCAAAAGTTGGAATTGAGCCAGAGATGAACGCATGTTGTGACTAATGGTTGTTGAGTAAAAAGTATTTTTTGGAAATCAGAGGGTTTTCTTTTAGTTTTGTTATGAGACAGGTTACAGCTTTATCACTGTTATCAGTATAGGGTGACCTTAGGTAAATCCCAGCACAGGTCATAATAGGTCAAACCACCTGTTTTGGTAGGCATCTCTAGCAATACATCATATTTTATACACTGATTAGCCTGTGTATTATATAATGACAATAAATAAATGTAGCGAAGTAGAAGTATAAAGTAGTATAAAAGGTTTAACTGCAGTACATGATTCTTATCACTGCAAATGATATTAAATCTCATATTAAAGTTAATATTGAATGGTCCTCTAGATTTATGGGTGTGCAATAAGGAATTGCTGGAGTACCCCTTATATTTCAGCTTTTTTCAATTTAGTTGAACTACTCTACAATCTTTTCATATGCCTCAGAACAGGAATGACTGCTCTAATCCAATCCAACCAGACTCATCTAACTCAGTGACACTTTGCTTTGTCTTTCCTGCAGTTTTTCTGAGTTTCTTCTGCATCTTTGAATCCTGGCTGACGGAACAGACACCACTAGGTGATGTCACTGCCGTGCGCTTCCTGCTCTTTCTCAGCCAAGTGTATGGTGGGGTGTTGCTCCTGATCACACCTCTGATTGCGGTGGAGACTCTGACCAGACTCCTGTGGCTGCGCCATCTTGTTGTTAACAAGGCAGAAAGTCAAGCAGTGCGCTCTGATGGACAGTGTCATTATACTGGTCAAGTAGCTGTGCAAGAAGAGGATGAGAGCAACATATCAGACCAAGGCAAAGACCAGAGGTTGTTTCATGTTGTCGCCTACCTCTGCTGCCTCTCAGTGTGGATTGCTGTTGCTCTGAATGTCAGGTGGCAATGGAAGACAGAGGAGACGTTGGCTACTGCATGTTTTATAACAACTAACTCCCTCATTAGATGTTTGCCCAACCTGTTGAGTTTCACGCCCAGTGTTGTTACTTACTGTTGGGGCTTGGCCTTCCTCTCCCTTCTCCTGCTCATCCTGACCACACGCACAGGTTTGCACAGACAACACCAGGGCACTGCACAGATGGAGATCACACACAGAGAGAAAGGTGGATTTAACAATAATGGTGGCAGTTGCAGGAAGGACCTTGTCCCAGTGCTGCCTGCACCCTCCAAGTCTGTGAACCCAGGGATGTCAGTGTCAGATCCAGCACAGTCTGTTGACCCTGAGAAAACAGAGAGCAGCTGCACTGTTCACAGAGCATATTTCTGGAACAGTGTGCAGATGTCGGCACGTCACCATGGAGACTTGGTCCTCATCTTCCCTGGGTGTTTGTTTGCAGAGAGAGGAGGAAAGGAGCATAAAAGGACAAAGAAAGGTATACCCCTGACATTTATCCCAGAGGAACACATGAAGTCACAATACAGGAGCCACTGCAGGTGGCAGCAGAGGGGTTTTCCCTGCCTTGGGGTGAATGTAATGATAGGGTTTGTGAGTGTCTTTGCCATCTTTGTGCTGCCTCTGAACCTCACTGTGAACATTCTTCTGATCAGGACTATAGAGGCACTGCTGGAGGTGTTCCTCGAGTCCTTACTTTCATCTGCAGCAAAGACAACCAACACATCAGCCTCTCACAGTGAAACACTTGTGTAAAACCAGGCTAGCAAGAGGCAAATGTGGATACTTGATTTGAAGCCATCTGCACCAGGATCACTGGATTAATATTGCATGTTTGCAGACAGCAGGTCTAACCTGACAACACCGGTTTGAACAGAGTGTAAAGTGTAAGCAGCTATTCACGTGTGAGGAATAATATGTGGAAATTTCTAAAAGGTGCCGAACAGGCAGGTTGAGGCGTGTTTGTAGAAAGACACTCACCTGGCTGAAACAGATGTGCTGGAAGGCCTCGTTTTACTGTTCCAAGCCTTATGATCTGCATTTGTCTTTACACAGTGAGTTACAGAACAAAGCTCTGCAGCTTAAATAAGGCTAATCCACAGGTAAACAGTGTTTTGAAAGCACTTATCCAAAAAGTGCTGATGCTGCATCGCATGACCAGGTATGATTTGGAACTAATTGTACTTTATTGACAATTTCCATGATTTAATACTTACACTCAGTCACATTTTAGATGAAAATGCTGTACTCTTTACTGCATTACATTTTCTGACAGCTACAAGTTAATTCTGAGATGACATTTTTACATTAAAAAAACAAAATAGGGCTTACAAAACACAGTGCCTGTGTGGTTTCCTATCTATTCCGGGTTACTTGTCAAATTCTAGATGCATTTGCAGCAAAAAGCCAGTTCTCCTCTAAATGTCTCAGGTTTCATTTAGATACTTGTTTGAGGCCAACAGGTCACTTACCCAATATGTCAGAAAGACTGGAAGAAAAAGGCAAATCCGTATCTTTTACCCACTATAAATCTTTGGTGTATGGATGAGCATGGATTCATTTTATTATTCACAGTCAGGTTTTGATTCTCAATCTGCCTAAAAAGGAAAACCTAATATTATTTATCAGTCATATCAGGCCCAGATACAACATTCTTCAACATGTCTCTGCAGAGAATAGTATATAATACAATAAAGATGTAGTAAGTCTGTCTGAAGTGAAGACAGGTGACAAATTAAAGGAAAGTTAAAGTGTCTTGGTAAAGTGCTGGGCCACCATATGCTGCCAGAACAGCTTCAGTGCACTGTGACGTTGATCCTACCCATCTCTGAACTCTACTGGAAGGATGAACGCCATTTTTCCAAAAGATATTTCCTCATATCATTTTGATAAACAGTGGGGGGAGGGGGTGCTGTCAAACATCCATAGGTGTTCAATTGGGTTAAAGTCTGGTGACTGCGAAGGCCACAGCACATGATTCACATTCTTTTGATACTCATCAAACCATCCAATGACCCCTCGTGACCTATCGATGGAGGCATTGTCATCCTCAAAGAGACCATTCCCTTCCGGATAGAAATGTTTCATCACAGAATAAAGGTGATCACTCAGATCAAGTTTGTAGCGATTTGCAGTGACCCTTCCCTCTAAGGGGACATATGGGCCTAAACCATGTCATTAAAATGCCCCCCACAGCATAACAGAGCCACCGGACCACCTCGCTGTAGGGGACAAGCAGTGGTGTATGCCAAATATGCACTCACCTACTCGTTGTTCACCACTGACCATATCACTTTCTTACACATCTGTGTGCATTCATCTTTGTAATGATGGGTTTAAGCACTGCAACTACTACTTAGACGTACTCAGCATTTTTCTTCATGCAGTACAGAAACTGAATGCAGAAAAAAAACAAAGAACTGCATGAACTGATATGTTTTGCAGTCCAGAGGTGAGCACGGACACAGATGTCAACACCAGAGGGCACTATGGTACAATAACAACAACTCAGGGCTTCAAAGACTTGAAGGCTACTAAAACGTTTAATAGATGAGCCTTAGGTTGGAACAGAAGAGGGATGAAGAGCATCCAGATGACAAAAGAAGGCACTTTTAGGTTGCTTTACCTGTGGTGGAGCCAGAAGCCTGTACAGCTCAAGGTTATGTGTGTGTGTGAACAGACACAGGTTTAATGAGTGCTGTGGTTTTGTGTGGATTTAAGGATTTTATTTTAAATTAGGGCATGATGACATTGAAGGGAAATGTCTTAGTTGCCCTAAGCTTCCTTTGTCATGAAATTGTTACTATTCTGAGCATGTACTTCATGAGAATGGTTTAGAAAAAGAGAGGGATCAAGAAGCTGCAATGCAGTGTAAGAGCTGAGATCAGTTTCTTCCTAATGGTGTTATATGTTAATGCTTTAATAGCACACCCACAGGTGATTTCACTGCTCACAGCTACATCAGTAAACGTTTGATTCACCCACAACATATGACTTCCTGCTTCATTTTCTGGGGTAGGATGAATCTTATGTTCAAATTGTGGTATAAAAATCTTTCCTTATTGTCCTGTATAATAATTTACTTCAAATCATCTTTATCCTAACATATACTGTAATACTGAAAACATGCACAATGATTAGATTGTTTTACATACTACAGTATTAGAGCTGCTGCTTCTTTAAAAAAAAAAAAAACAGTTATGACAAAAGGAACCTTCACTTCTGCTTTTTCCTTCACTTACATGATTAAAAGCCTACACCCTCGCCTCAGGAGGGCCACATCGGACAGGAATCAAATACAGGTCTCTTAAAGGAGACAGCTCAGTGAGTTTTCCTGGACATTTTAGCCACAGGTAAAAATGTCTATTAGAGTATAGGCACCTTCTCCCCGGATAAAAGGAGTGAGCTGAGAAAAGTACCCTGAATCAAAGCCACTTGTTCTGAGGGTCAGCTGTCAATGAACGGCACCCTGCCCCAAACTGCACAGTTTGTTGTGAACAGCTGTAATCATGATGCAGCAAGACTCGGTTGCTTTGGAGTGTGGAACAGTAAAGCAGCAGATTACAAAGTTATACACACACAAAAAAACACAACTCTTTGGGTTTCTGACTCAGTGTACAATTCAGATGTTAACTTTCTCTCACACAATTTCTTACTTACCAAAAGCTGTAGCCCACCTGCAGCAAGGGAAAGCTGACCTCCAGCAGACATCTTTTTCGTTCATCATGTCACACAGCTGGGCCTCGGCCTGTGCCGAAATGGGGAACAGCAGTAGAACAGAATGTGTAACCTCCCCTCCCCTTCCCTTTCTGAAATGGTGCGCAGAGCTGAGAGTTTGGCACATCTCAACTAAAATGGTTGGCATGAATGTGGAGCAGGTATTGACAAGAAGAGCCTACCTCCATTTTAAACGATTTATAATTTATAAAGATTTGAAGCAGAGTGATTTTTATGTTACCAGTTTTTAGTCATGCAGTAGAGTGACTCTGTGGATGCCAGTGTCAGTCTGTCCACCTCCTTGGTCCACAGTGATGCAATATATCTCAAGACTACTGGATGAATTACCTTGAAACTTTGTGCAAACACTTGTGGTCACCAGAAGATGAAGTCTATTAATGTTGGTGATTCCCTGATTACATTTAGCACCACCTGACACGTTACCTGTAAAACAAATGACATTTCAATCAGCCTCAGCTGTACTTTGTCTTTAGTGCTAGTTAACAAATGTTAGCATGCTAATATGCTAAACTCAGTGAACACGGTGAACATCATACTGTGCCCGATAAACATCAGCATTTAGCATGCTAATCTATTTAGCTCCAAGAGTCACTGTCTGATGAAAGTTCTACTCAGTACCCTTACTTAAGTAAAAGTAACACCACAGTGTAAAAATATGCTTTCACATAAAAGTCCTGCATTCAAAATGTTACTTAGTAAAAGTGTTAGCATCAAAATATACTTAAAGTATTAAAAGTACTCATTATGCCGAATGTCATTTTTAACAGTATTTTATCTGGATTATAAATTTCGATGCAATTATTGTGTAGTTTGAATTACTGCTAGGTAACGACTGAATCTTCCACCATAGATCAATAGTGTTAGGATTATACTGTGTTTTTTTTATTTAAATTAATCAGATTCTGAAAATTAACAAAAAAAATTGTGGATTAAAAGGAACAATATTTGCCTCCAAAATGTAGTGAAGTCAAAGAATGAAGTAGCAACAAATAAGTTAAGTACAGATACCGCAAAGTGTTCTTAAGTACAGGACTTGATTAAATTTACTTAGTTATTTTCCACAACTGGTCTTAACTACATGACAGAGCTGCTAAGAAATTAAAGAAGTGACATGAGGTCATGCATTCATTCAGCCATGTCTGCCATCATGACTGATGTTACCTACATAAAAATGACTCCAGTAAGCACCACACAATGAAATGTAGGCTACAGGTTTATCATTTGAGAAAAAGAAGCCACTGATATTGGATCAAAGTCTGGAGAAAAGAAAACTGGATTGGTGACAGACAGGGCAACGCTGAAGAACATTCAATCAAAGTTAAAGAGACCATCTGATGTTTGCAGTAATTTATTGTACATTAAAACATTTCCCACTAACCTCCAGCAGCAAAAGCACACTAGAGCGTGTTCACACAATGATGGGTGCACAGCGGCCATCATCAAGACACAATCATCATTATAATCAATAAAAGTGTCATAGCTATTATCATAATCATTTTAACCATTAGTGTCATCACCATCAACGGTAACCCAACACCACCTCACAATAATCTCCTTCTTAATATTCAAATAGGAAGCCTTAATGAAACGAAACACACTGAGGTCTGCAACAGGGCAAATTGGGATCAAATCAACATTTGTTTTAACTAGGTCGGGATTTATTTTGTAAGAACTTTTCAGATTTTAGATAACTGAACGTTGTTCTGATTCCCCAGTGGCATTAAAGGATAAGGTCAGTCATTTTCTATATTAAGTGTATCTTCAACACTCAGACTAAAACCAACAATTATTTGCCTCTACCACGATTAATGTCTGAGTCTGTCAGTCCTGGATCAGCTTATGTGTGCCATAGAGCCCTCCATTCAGTGAAACATACTGCTGCACTGAGTGACGTTTCCTCATTACAAAACACAAGACCCTAATATTTGTTAAGAATATGTGGAGATCTCGTGCACGAGCCCTTGACTTGACCGATTTATTGGCCATACATCTGTACTGATATCCACCTTGTTGACTGCCATTGGCCTATTGGCAAATAAGATGATTATTTACCGATGGCAATGGCTGAGGTTTATCTGTCATGTCTCATCAAGTTGCACTGGCTCAAATGTGTTGCTTCTTTGCAGTAACCTAGCCAACTGCACATCCTGGACCGATCCACTGGGTGGTAATAAAGGTCACATGGTGCACACTCTGCAACTAGCCGTCCATGATGGCTATGGATGTACTGAAACATTTAAGTAGGTAGTTGTATAGCAGGTTAAAAAGGCTTTTAAAAGTTATTTTTCAGAAAAATATGTAAAGCTCATTAACAGTTGTCTGATAGGCAGGGCTAAAAGACAAACAATTTGGTAAATAAAAACAACAAACAAACAAAACAGAACAAAACATCGACATCAGTTATCAGCCACACCATTATTTTAAACATCTTATCGGCCCAGAATTCCACAATTGGTGCATCTCTAGTTTGAAGTCATTGCCATTCGGAGCCTTTGATACAAAGGTTTAAAAAAAATATCAGGGACCGTTAAAAATACCGTTAATATAGACTGATCGTATCCTTTAAGAAAAAGTAAGTTGCCAAAGTTACCTGCTGAGTAAATCCCAGAAAACTAACATAAAATGAGCTGTTCCAGGTTTTACTCAGCAATATTATTCGGATAATTTCTCAATAACTCACAGGCTCCTGCAAATATGCGCAAGTTAAAACAAATAATTTGCAGATGCTCACAATTTAGCCCTAGTTTGCATTATTCCGCACATACTTGAATCACATCGTACAAAACAAGGGCACTGCCCCAATTTTCTTTTAAATGGACAACACATACAAATGCCATGAAGTAGCGTGGCAAAGGAGGAATGAGGAGTTTTTTTTGTTGGTGTGTTTGTTTCGTTTTGTTTTTGGTCATTTGCAGTTCTTCCAAAGAAAAATCTGTGATTTTGTACCGTACTGGACGCCAAAGTGTTTCATCACAAACACTTTTGGCTGCTGCATGGGTTTGCTTGGAGGGGCCAGCTGGGATTTATCAAGCACAACCAACACATTTTTACAATTACAGTTGAACCAAGCCGTTCAAACAACCATGCACATGCCCATCCATATACACACACACACACACTGTGTTTTCATTCCTTGTGGGGACATTACATTGACTTACATTCATTTGCTTAATCATAACCACTACTTGCCTAACACCTAGCCCTAATACTTAACCTAACACCTAACCTTAAACCATGTTGCCACCCTAAAATTCAGTGATTTCCTTGTGGGAAAGTGTGTTAACAGGTTTCGGTCCCCATAATGCAAAGTAATACAAAGGCACGCACGCGTGCGCACACATATACACACACACACACATCAGTGAGTATGCTGCCTGAGCAACAAGAACCTCTTAGCGCAGATTCTACAGGACTTGTGTTCAATTAGTGATAAACAACTTGAGGCATGTGGAGCGAAGTAATAAACATGACTGAACCTCAGAGGAATTATCAGTGTTTTCATCATTATGTAACAGCACAGTGTGTGCTCAAAGCTACTTGTGATTTGGAGGAAAAGATGGATGTCCAAATATGAAGCAGCCAGATTCCTTTTAACTATTCTATGTACAAATATCCAAGTAATAACAACAACAACAACAAGTAACTTCATCAATAGCAGTATATTTCTGGACAATCTCCACCTACAAAGAGACATTCCTGTCATAAGTGGAGAGGAGTGGGGAGTGGACAGGAATGGGCATCCTATGAACAACTTTTTCATTCATTTAATTTGTTTTAGGTGACAGAGAATCACTGGTGCACACAGGTGTTTTCATGCAATGAAAGACAGGACAGACATCTGAATGTGTCCAGCTGGAGGAACCAAGGTCCTGGACAGAAGTAAAAAGTGCCAACAGACTTAACAAGTTGAGGGTGATTAGCTGAAAATGTGGCCAAACCAAAGCCAAAAAAGGAGGTGAAAGCTGTCAGTCACATTCCACAGAGAGACACAACTAAGCCAACTAGCACAGAGAAGACAAGTGACCAGTGTTCAGTGTCCATTTGCTTAGACAGAGGGGGGGGGGTGTCCAGTCTCTCATGAGCCTGGAGCTTGACAAGGAGAGCAGTGCTCCTGAGACTGTGCAAGGTGGACACCTGGGATCATTTTAAGGGAAAGAAGTTTTTAGTTTGGCATGTCCCATCCACTAACATGGACGAGGTGGGATTTATGACCTATACTGCAACCAGCCACCAGGGGGCGACTCGCAGTGGCTTCACTTCTGGGAGCTGTCAGGCTGTGTATTCTATAGCTATACAGTGAATGGTGAAGTCCTTTTCAGTTAAATGTGTAATGAAACAAATGTAGTCCATTATCATATGGTTGTTTTAAGTCACAAAAAATTTACATCGCAGATCTTAAGAGTAACATCAAGTATAATTCTTAACACTGAATTGAAAGAAATGAACACATCAAAATACCCTATTAAACAGGTTTTAAATGTTTCTTTAATATCTTTTGAAACCTTCACGAGTTCTGTAAATTCACCTACAATGATTTAATCTGCTAGGACAATAGCGACCATAGATGTAGCTCTGTGTAGCTCTTAAAGGCGTACAGTGTTGATTCGCAGTGGTTGTACATTCTTGCCATTAGCGTGGCTCTGCCCAGGGCTGAAATAGGGGAAAACCTTGGTGGGGAATTTCTCTCGGTAGGTGTAGAGCCAGGACATGTCATCTGCATTGTAGAAGATGAGCAGGCCTTTTGGGTAGTCCAGGTACACACCCACCTTCTCCAGCTTGCTCTTGACATTGAGACGGGTCCAAGGCTCAGTGCAGGCACTGTACTGGTTCCCGTCATGCATAACGATGCAGAAGAAGCCGCGGCTGGGTTGGATCTGAATGCTGCCCTTGCGACTGACCGTCTCACTGGCCACACCAATCATCCACTGGGTTTTCTCTGACACCATCACCTCCCAGTAATGGACACCTGAAGCAAAACCCTCTGCGCCTAGAACAGACACCTCCACGTCAAAGCGGCGCGGGGAGTCCTGCAGTGGCTGTGGGTGTAGATTTCCGTAGGCCACAATTGTACAGTCATCTGAGAGGATCAGTCTTTGGTGGGCTGTGATGGGGTCGAGGGTCAATGCTGCTGGCACTGAAGAGGACGAGAAAGGGGACACTCACTGTAACACTGCAGAGAGTCAACAGTCAGCCTAGGGAGGCTACATGGATAAAAAAGTTAAAAAAAAAACCCAAATAACATAAAACACATCAATGTGTAATGATTTAGCCAAGAGGGCTGCGGTGTCATTGTCAGCGCCTCATTTTATTTTATTTTATTGTTGCACATGCTGTATGAACACTTTTGTGCTGATGCTCTTAGGTATCAGCCACTTTACTGGACAGGTGAGGTCAAGGTTATGAACCTTGATCTGAAATGTTCCCAGTGAAAAGATTTCATCACCGGCAGCTGATTAAAAACCAAGTACATTGTCTGGATGGAAATATGTTCTGGCCAGGAGGTCACTGAAAATGAAGACTGAATGAGGGCAATCCACACACAAAGGACTTTTTGAAGCATTTCTGACATCCGTGACTTCTCCGACTCACAAAACGGATCAAATCCCTTTATCAACTCCATCCTCAGTCAACATACGTTGTGACTTTTTGCACTGCGATTTTCCACCAGCTGTTTAAATCACTCAAAACTCCCACTGTTTATACTGTATGTTATGAATGCATTAACTGTATCTGTAATGACTGACTAGTTTCATGATAAAACTGTTGTTGTCCGGTAAACAATGGTGTCACACTGTCCCATCCTCTCTGCTCCTTCAGAGTCGTACAGCTGACAGGCCAAATGGAGGCAGCATCAGTAGCACTCACTCTAGCCTTTAATGGGCATTCCCAGTAAGACAATGGAGATGTTTGTGCCCAGTTTACTCTGGCTGATCCCTAGACCTCACTGTGGATAGTGGAACATTTCATTAGAACTGCAGCATTTTCTATCACACAGTCCCTCCATGTATTATCCAGAGTAAAGAGGATAATGTTAATGGAGGAAAGCTTTCTTTTTTTTTCCATTTTTCTAAAATCAGAAGTAGGACAGAGAACCACAAAAACAGTCTACTTATGCACTGGACATAGGGGACATGATTTTTGCTTTTTTTTTAGTTTTCATTATATTTTCCAGGTTTATTAGATATATTTTCTCATTGCGTAACAAACAAATTCCATCCGCTACCATAAGAGTAGACAACTCTCAGAGACAGATGATCAGCTATAACCTGGATGATTACAGCAAAACTAGCTCGATGTCGAACCACTAGAATTAAGTGAGATAAACTGACCCTTTAAGACCAAGAACCCGGTGGAAACATTACAGTACATATATCCATCACTGCTGCCAGAGCTTGAGGAGGTAATCAGAGCCATGCCCTGCGGTAAAGGATAACAGATGGCTTGTTATTATACAGCACACCCAGCTGCTGCTCGACTCTTATTTCAGGAAAATGAGTTGTGCACCGAGCAAGAGTACACCATGATACTTTTTTTTTTTAAATTTTAACTTTATGTGTAAACCAGAGTCAAGAGCTCTCCTGAGTCTGATAGGATAGCTCAATTTGAGCAATATTAACCACACAAAGGGTGAAAACAATACAGTGAAGCCGTAATTACAGCGAAGGGAGAAGCGGCTCCGCTCGCGCCACAAGGTCCAGGATGGTAGGAAGTTATTTCATGGTGCAGTTATGTGGTTTTTGGCAGGGAGAATCTGCACCCATGTGTGCTGTAAGCTTTCAGTTAAGGGATCCATATCAGGCCCAACAATAACAACTTGTTCTCTTTGCTCTCTTTAATGCTGAGCAGAGTCAGGAAAGAGTTGTAAAGGCATCTTTCCTGTTCCTCTGTATTTATAGCAGCTGACATAAATGGAGGTGAAATCTCTGGCAGGCGGCCAGCAGGCAGGACAATGTCTTCTCCAGTCAATGACATCTCCAGTGTTTGTTACAACCAAGTCATTAAAATTTCATAACCTGAGTACCTCTGTGTCATA